TGTGTTTTTGTTCCCTCAGAATGAGCTGTTTTTATCTGAGAGAGTGGGTCCTCTTCTACAGAGTCAGCCATGTTGAACCGTCATATTTGTGTACAGTAGCCCAGAGTGGACAAGGATAGGATAGTTCTTCGTGGCCACCATAGTTTCTCCTACATGCTTGGAAGGCAAGCTGTATTCAGTTGTTTGCAATCTGCAATGTCACCGCTAGATACCACTAAATCCTGCACACTGGTCCTTTAAGACACATATTTTTGATATGACTGACACTACACTTCTCCACTGTGGCACCCACTCAGCCATTTCTTCACTCTTCCACCACACACCCTCTCATCACAGGCAAATTCTACATCCATCTCTCAGAAAATCATCTCTCTTCCCATCCATGTTTGTACCCTGCCTTCCAAACCCTTTTTCTCCTTCCTGTTTCCCCTTCTGTCCCCCTTTTCCCTGCGTCATCCTCCAGGCCAGCGGAGACCCTTACAAGATTCAGCTCTATGTTAAAGGGGACTTTTCCGGTCAGGTGTTTGAAGCGTCAGAAGACTGTCCCTCCGTGCTGGAGAAGTTCCACTGCAGGGAGGTTCACTCCTGCAGGGTTCTGGGAGGCTTTTGGGTCTTCTACGAGCACCCCAATTACAAGGGTCGCCAGTACCTGTTGGAGAAAGGCGAGTACCGCAAGCCGGTGGACTGGGGCGCCGTTTGCCCCACTGTACAGTCTTTTAGAAGGCTAACTGAGTAGACATGTTCCTTTTTCTCACCTTTGGCTGCCTGCTCACGGCTGACACCTGAGCAGGCAGCCATGGCTTCAATAAAACTGAATGATGAGGAATGACAGGGTTTTGTGTCATCACTGAGTGTGACTGTCTGCCAGTACTTGCAATGCATAAGGGAGAGTGACATTGAGTTTCGCCTTAAGTGATCCTTTTTCTGGTTAACAGTCTCGGGAAAAAAGATGTCAGGGCTTTTTCATTTCACAATAAAGATCACAACAGTAGAAAATCGTTGATTCTTTCACTCATGTATACAACTTTCACACAGATCGGAGTGCTAACGAGAAGGTTAAACGGAGTCAAAGAGTCCGACCGCTGATCTCCTGAAGCTGGTGACTGTCGACTGACTTGACGAAAAGAAGGGCTGGGTGTGACGCCAGTGACTTGTGACCCTACTTGGACATAAGCCTTTTGGCTCGAAATGACTTCTTCATCTTCCCAAATCCCAAGCGTTATAAACCCTTAAAAAACCCTATCTGACCATATCTGACAACAGATATCCTTCGAATCAATCCAACAGCAGCCAATCCCGTTGCAGGAGCAGGATGGAGAGGTGCGTTTGGCAGATGAATAATGACTTGAGTTTGTAGCCAAGATTTGAGACTCACTTGAAGCTTAAAAAACAATGAGTTTGAAGTTTCTCATATTATCTTAAAAGTCCACATTGAGAAGTTGTGGCTACTCTTAAAAGATTAATATGTCAGTTAACTTTCCTGACAGCATCTTTGGAGTGAAGCCCATTTCACATGTTTATCCTGTAAATGTGTTTCTCAGTTGTAATTGTACGGCTAATTGTTGTACGTTTTTAAACTAAGAAATACTATAATATTTTAATAAATGATTCTGAAACCATTATTAAAGGGATATACCAGTGTTTTTGCAGGTTTTAGCCAAAAAAATCACTTACAGTAGATTACAACAAACTATGCTACTGTGCCTGAATGTATTATTCATTTATTTATATAATTGAATGCAAAAAGAGTTTATTACTGAAGGATCAAACTTCTTGCTTGTGTTTTTCCACCAAATTACCAACATTTAGGTGACAAAATACAGGAGGCATTGCGGGTGTATTAAGATTTTTTTAAGTGGGCATCGTCCTGCCCTGACATATTGACAACAGTTGTTACTGTAGCTGGCCCGTCTGCTTGTGCGGAGACAGATGGGTTGAATTCTCTGCTGTGTGTGGATCATGTTTCATAGACGATCTGGCAACTTGGGTGATTTCAGACAAACTCAGTGTATGATGATTATTCACAATAAAGTTTGAAGGCCATGCAAATTACAGGGGCTTCCCAGTTGGTGGAAAAGGCTAGAAGGATTATCCTGTCAAACAAATCAAAATGAAACTGTAAAACAAACTATTTTATTATCAGATCTGCTTACAATGGTGCTCATGATGATTAAGTTAAGAACAGTTTAAAATCGATGTATTTACATCTGAACTCACATGCCAAACTCTGGGCAAATGTTTGTCATGCAGTAAGTTGTGCGGCATGCTGGTTGTTCCCGCCTGTCGATCCTGTCTGGATCTTCTTCTTCTTCTCTGCTCACACCGAAGGCTGTCCTTCATCGATGAAGCTGAGCTGGGCGGTGTGCTCTCCCCACTCCACCTCCGGCGGGCTCTGGAGGGGCTCTAGGGGGTGTGATGCCATGCTGGAGGGCTGGAGAAGGGGCTGGAGCTGAGGCTGGGAAAGGGAATGGGGATAAGACTGGGATATGAACTGGGATGGAGGCTGTATTTGTGGCTCACTACCAGGTCCTGATAAGTCTACCAAAAGGGGAGTGATAGATGATGGGTGGATTGATGAAGAAAGAGAAGGGATGGAGGAGGAGGAGTAGGGAGGTCGTACGACTGTGTGCTCATGGGGAGAGCTGTTGAGCGACGGGGGAGCTGAGAAGTGAGAGGCTAGGGGTGCGGTACCGGCCTGATGAGGATTCTGGGAGGGTGAACACTGAAGCGGATCAAACTCTCCTTGTAACGCCTTCATCACGCTCAGCTGGGGAGAGGACGGTTCGGGTAGCAGAACTGGTGGAGGATTTTGATCCTCTGAACAGCCCACAGGTGCATGTTGGGTAAGAAGGGGCGGGGCCGGGGAGCAGCTGTGTGATGACACGCTGGGAGGCGGAGTCATAGCACCGGGTATCAGCAGCGTGGAGGTGTTATGGAAGAGGGGTTTGAGAAGACGGGTCATTTCCTGCAGCTCCTGACTGACAGCGGTTACCTGATGGGATAGGATGGTCATCTGGAGCGAGGGGAGACAGATAGAAGAGGAGTAAATGCTGATGTGTTTGACACACAGGACTCTTGTTGTCGAGTCTTGGCTTATAAACCTGCATTTACTGCACTTAGATACAGCAGTTTGAGTTCATTCTTACACCTTTAAGTCTTGAGCCAATAAAAAAAGTATTTTATCAACTTAAAATATGGATGTATTTTATTCTTTATATTTTGGAACAGCCAGGGTAATTTGAATAGTTGCATTCAATATTAATGATTACATGCACGTGGAATTTAGAATTGTGAAAATGAAAAGAGTTAAATCTGTGAGGATTTTGGTGTAACTGTCAGCATCAATCGTTAGCTAGCCAGTTAGCTAGCATTTTGCTACAGAGTAAAACTCTGGAAAGCTAATCTACATCAATTGTTTGCTAGCTAGTGACATCTGTTAGCTAATGTTAGCCAAACACCAGCTAACTAGCTAGCTTGCTAGCTATTTTACGTCAAGAAAGTTGACCGAGGCTTCCTCAACTGTTATTGGAGCACAGAGCAAAAAGGGGGCGGTACTTAGGAA